AAAAGAAAACAAAAAAATTAAAAAAATATGATTTTAAATAATTAATATTTATTTTTCAGATTGTATTACTATGTTGGTACGTTTAAATAATTTTTGCGTATATAATAGATATTAAAATCATTTTTAATACCAGAGAAAACTGTTTAGGTTAGTAATTTCCTTGTTCATTTTGGGCGCTTGTTCGCCATTTCGAAAGTCCCTTACGGTCGGTTCCATTGCTCGCAAGTTTGCCTTCTCCAGTCCTTGTATATTAACTCGCTTTATTATATTTAAATAAATGTAATTCCGCTTCCGGACATTAAATGTTCCTATTTGCTTTTCATTTTAGCATCTTTGACATGTTATTTTCAGGTCTCTTACGTCCCCAATGGCAGGCGTTGCTTCCGAGAACTACCCTGGTCAGGATGGTGACTACGCCGACAACATTAACAGATACGACAATCACGGAGGTGAGAGCATAGGAACCTCTGGTAACGATGATTACGCGCACATTTACGATTCTTATCAAAATGAAATTTCCGAAGGCGCTTCCATCGAAGAGTATGCAGACCGGCACAGGGATGAACGGAAGCAAAAGCGTGACCGTAGACGATCTCGCAGCAGGAGTGGAAGTCGAGGAAAAAGCCGGCATGGAAGGCGCGATAAAAGCAAAGATCGCAAGTCTAAACGCAAGCACGGTTCTCCTACACCAAAGCCTCTTGTTTACAAATATTGGGACGTTCCTCCGCCAGGATTCGAACACATTACACCTGCTCAATACAAAGCCTTGCAAGCATCAGGACAAATACCAGTTAACGTATATGCAGCTGGACAGGTTCCGATGCCACCACATGCTCCTAATGCACCTCTAACCTTGACCACAAATGTCCCATTCGCCGGGAGCGCTGTCTGCCGTCAGGCTAGGCGGCTCTATGTAGGCAATATACCTTTCTCTGCTACAGAAGAAAATATGATGGAGTTCTTCAACAAGCAAATGAAAAACCAAGACCTTGTTCAAGCAGAAGGAAATCCTATCATAGCCGTACAGATCAACATGGAAAAGAACTTTGCCTTTTTGGAGTTTCGATCTGTAGATGAGACTACTCAGGGCCTTGCTCTTGACGGAATACTGTTTCATGGTCAGGCCCTTAAGTTACGAAGACCCCGTGACTACGTTCCGGTCCCAGGTGTGTGCGAAAATCCAACTATAGTCGTTCCCGGTGTCGTATCAACTGTAGTGCAAGATTCTCCACATAAGATTTTCGTTGGTGGTCTTCCAAATTATCTAAATGAGGATCAGGTTAAGGAGCTACTGCTGAGTTTTGG